TCGTTTTTTAAAAGCTTTTATTAATTAATTAGTTACATAAAATTTTTAACCAACTTCCTAATGAGCCTAGAGACTTGTAACATCAAACTTAACTCAGAGCCCGATGACAATGCAATGTGAAAGGGGGAGATATTTAGAAAATCTCTTACTTATGGCTCGATTTGTTTTATATTTATCGAGAACGTTAGTATATGATCAAATCTCACGAGTTGTTACATTTTTCGACAAAAACGCGTTTTGGTCGAATATGGTGGGCACACTTATCTTATAGTTGATTTCCACCAAGCCTTAACTGCAGTTTATGCCTATTGAAAAAAGGAGATTACAATTCGAACCGGGTAATTTCACTTATTGAGTAGAAGGTAACGAAAGGAAAAAAAGGTAAAATGAAGAAACCAACCTTGCCGATCACCCCATGTTTATATTCTTGAAGCTTATCTGAGCTCTCAACTGCAGTTAAGCGTTTGGTGGAAATAAACTATTAGACCATAAATTGTCTTCAGTTTTGCACAAAGAACAAGATTCCATTCGAAAATTTTGTTTAAATTAAAACTTAAAAAAGGTATACTAAAAAAGTATGTATGTAACGTATACGCCCTATAACACAACCAGCTAACGCGTTTACTCTTACTCCGTAACTTAAAAATTATGTATTTTTAAAGTAATTAAATATTAGCGTAAAAGGTTTTTACACAGTATTTTTTTATGCTATTTTATATTACTTTTTTCATATAAATATATAACAATTTCAGAATGAATTTCGAGTGTGCCAATAAAAATTTAATTTTTTTCTAGATTGGTTCATTTTGGCAAGATGAACCTTTTCACCGTTTCATGTTGACATTCTGAAGTATCTTAAACTTTAAAAATTAAAAAAAAAAAAAAATCATTACTGTTCAAAAATTACAAAATATCTACGACAGACATTCTGCATGCTGCCATTTTTTCACTGATATATTGTACGTCCATTGCCGGTAATATGAACATTCCATTTGAAAACTTCGAAACGTTATTAAAACAACAATTATGATTTTTTTTAGTGACAAAAAAATTTTAATTTTGGTACTTCTTCGCCTAAATAAACGATCTAAGGACAAAATTGTTCAAATACTTAATTTATCTATATATATCTATGGTCAGCAGCAATAATCGCCTAAGTCGAAAAACCTGGATTCGTGAAAAAGTGCCTTAAAGATTTGAATTGTAATGTTAACCTTATGGGGAAACCAAAATACTTTTTAACTATAACTTTTTAAATAGCCTAGGTAACGAGATGGGAGTTACACATACACAAGAAATAGTAGTTGCAGAAAACGATAGCATACATAACTCAAATCTTTCCTAAGCCGACTTAGGCGGTTATTGCTTATGACCACAGATATAATACGCGAAGGGATTTTTTGTCCAAATAATACCATCTGCACCGTTGGTTCGATTTTCCAAAATGAGCTGTAAAATTAAGGGGCTCGGACTGCAGATGTGCAATAAGGTTTTACTTTTTCGAAAACAGTTGTCACATTTAAAAAAATTGTGTTCAAATTGTTTAAAAACTTAAACAAGTTATTACAAAATGGGTATCAATCGAAATGGTTGTAAAAAGCTTTGTTTCTTTACTTTACTTTAGGAAGGGTGCCACCTGTTTAAAAAGTTAAATTTAATTTGAATTAAGAGAATTAAGTAGTAATAATTTGTAAATATTTTGAAGAAATGGGCTTGAGAAGGCTTTATTTCTCAACTATATTTAGAGGGTTGCCACTTGTTAAAAAAATTTAATTCATCAGTTTATTAGAATATGTATCACTGTGCCAGACGAAGGTTATTTAAGAAAGTTTTAGCTTGAAAATATTTTGAAGAGGGTCACCACCTTTTTGAAAAGTTGAATTTAATTAACTTATATACAAATTATATGAAATATTAAGATATGGGTGTTTAACCAAAGAGTGTTAAAAGATCCTTAGTTTAAACATTCATATTTGAAGAGGGTTGCCACCTGTTTAGAAATGGATATCAATCGAAATGGGTTTTAAAAGGCTTTATTTCTGACCCTTATTTAGGAGGGTTGCAACGCATTTGAAAAATCAAATTCAACTTAATTCACAATTTAATTGAAATATTTATTACAACGTTAGAAGAAAATGATATAAGAAGACTTTAGTTTGAAAATACGTTTGAAAAGGATTTCTACCTGTATGAAATGTCGTATTTTGTTAACTTATTCCTAAGATGTACGAAATATTAAAATATGAGTGTCAAGGTCATTAGAGCGGCACCGTTTTTCCGAATTTGAAATATGAGCCGAAAGTATCGATATAGTACTCATTTTAAGTATCGCTGTAAAGATATCGGGTACTATCGACCTCCTTATCGATACAAATGATGTGACATCATATGACAGAACATCACATGGTATGACATCATTGGGCTTGACATGACATCCCATTACATCACTTCACTTTACATCACATGAAATCACATCACATTGCATCGCATTATCTGACATCACAAGACATAGCATGTTAAGTAGATGAAGAAAAGGATAAAAGCTAAGATATAAAAGATACCGATATTGTTGTCATTTTGCTATCGATATTTTTTATAAAATTTGCTATCGATAATTTTGTCGGTCTTGTTTTGTCGGTCTTGTTAACGATGCACATGATGTGACATCATATGACAGAACATCAAATTATATGAATTTATTTGGCATGACATGACATGCTATCACATCACTTCACATGATATCGCACCACATAGCATCTTATCACGTAATCGTACCTCACATCATCTAGACGAATATGTCGATGACGAAAATATTAAAACAAAGATACAAAATATAAAAACAAAGATGAAGACCAAGGTAAATTTAAACACTTTACTTTTATAGGAACAATATAGTATAATTATAAAAATAAATATAAAGGAAAACAGAAGAAAAATGTAATTAGAACGAATGCGTAGGGATCTAGATAGAAAAAAGATAAAATATTAACCTTAAGCAAATGTATGGAGACAAACTAGATATGTATGTAACGTAAGTTTCACTTTTCCAGTGTGGCCCAGGCGCTCTTACTTTTTCTTAAATATTTGTTCAAAATTAATTTCCTTTTTGATGCAGCACTACGATTTCTAAGTAAGAAAAAAATAATCTTCCTAATTTTTCTACAACAAGAAGGCTTCTAATGGTATCGGACAAGTGATGCCTATTTGTTTTAAAAAATTTAAAAACAAACTTTTAGTCCATTATTATAAGTAACTTTATACCTCAACCTCTATGTCATACTCGAGTTTTAATAACACAACTAAAAGTCATTTAAATTGCTGCAAACATTATTTGCCCACATACATACATATGTACATAGATCATTTGCATATGTGTAAATATTTATGTATAAATATATGTACAGTGGCAGAACAAAGAAACCACATTGTTATTGAGGTAGTGGTCGGACCACTAGCACATCCATGCCACTAACCACATCCACAACTATTATTTATGCAACGGCCAAAGGACACCATAACAAAGTCCTGGCAACTAAAAAAGTGAGTACGCCAGCGTGCGGGGCGGCAGAGAGAGAAACAAAACAGCAGACAAGTGGCGGCAGAAGTGGCAATAGCCACTGTTGCACAAGTAATGACAACAAAATTGTGTTTACACAATAAAAAATTATGCAAAGCGCACTTGTGGCATGTTAAGCATACAACTTGTTGCACACGCTACGGGCTGTGGTCATGCAGCGACACACACACACTAATGTAACAAAAAATTAATGCAATAGAAAATGGGGTAATGACAAAAAGTGGCCACAAAAGCAAAGGCGCTGAAGCATCTCGACGGCGAAGGTGGCCGACTGTTAGTAGTTGGCTGACTGTTGCTTGTTGTTCGAGTGCCACAGGGAGTTATATATGTAGTTAGGTCTATGCGTTTGGCATGAGTAGCACGCTGACAGCGAATCAAGCACCAAGTGGTGAGCAACAAGCAGGACAACCGCAAAAAACACTGTCGTCCCACCAACATCAACTACACCTCTGCAGCTGCAACTGTAACTAGTACTACTACTACAACTGCCTATTTGGCGTGCCACCATAGCGCCACAAACAAAAAACAAAACACTACAAAGTCCAACTATAACCAACTATGAATATCACAGCCACAACTGGAGCAACAAGCAACAGCTACTTGCCACATGCTACAAGTGTAAATTTGTTGGCGTGTATATTTATGTAGTTACAAGCGCGTCGCTCAGTGTAAGTTATGCCACGTATTTGCCACTGCTGGCTGTGCAAATGTCTGCTTGTGTGTGTGTGTCACTGCCAGAGTTTGCGTGTTGTTATGCATTTAGTAAAAGTGGCAACAAAGTTTTGCCACGCTAATTAAAAACCATATACTAACTGCAGCAACAAGAAACGCACATAAATGATGGCAACACAACAGCAAGCAAGCAAGCAAAATCTACAACAACAGCAAACGGCAGCAATGTGGAACCACAGAAATTCCATTTATTATATCTTAATTTTATAATGAAAAGCGCAAAAGCTTTGTGTGTTGACAACAAGAAACAGCAACAACTACACGCAGATAATACATATAAAGTTGAAGTATTGAAGTTGCTAAATAGAAGTTTGCAACAAAACTTCAAACACGTTGATGACAGCACTTTGCCACAAAACTTTCTGTCAACAGCAGTACTCACACCCACAAAATGAACTTAGACATTACAAGAAAATTACTATAAGCGCTTCTAAACATACTTCCGCACACTTGGCCCGGTCTACTTGCGCTCACTTCTTAATCTCATCTTCCCCGCTATCCGCTTGCAGCTCTTTCGCTGACACTTTTTTACTTTCACCCACGCCTCCCATCTAATCTACTCACGAAAACGCACACTTAGACGGAAGCCACAACAATGTGAACCTTAATCGAGTTAATCTGCACTCGGCATATACTTAAGCCATCCAACCAACAACAACAGCAGCGCACCACTCTCCCTCTTCACACTCACCTGAGTCCCGGCACCTGTGTCGCCATCGTACCGTCCTTGAGCACCCACGAAACCACCGGCGGCGGATTACCGTGCGCTGTGCAGCTGATCTGCGTGCCGGTGTCATTGCTGAAGAGCAGACGTGGCGGTGGCTCCTGCATGAAAGTGGGCACGCGTAAGCCGCTTGTGGCTTTGGCAACTGGTGGCGGCTGCAGCACGACGACCAGCAGTAGCGCCAACAATGGTAGCAGCAACGATGATTTGTGTGCGGTAGCTAAAATGAAATAAGGGAACACAATAACAACAACAACAACATTAGCGATGTTAGCAAAAACAATATGAAAGATCAACTCATGTGAGTATGTGTGTAGGTAGGTGTGTGCGCAAATATGAAACGGCTTGGATTTTGCGGTTAGCCATGTGCCAGCAGGACGATAAGGACTTAGGCCGGTTGTACCTAATGAAGTGGTGGGCGGTTTGGTGGTGCAGTGGCGAATTTGTGGATTGTCAGTGGTGAAAGGCTCATAATTGGTAGAACTTTTGCTAGCATTGCGTTTTAATGGATTTCAAGAGTGGCTTATTTTCTACTAGAAGAGAAGGTAAAAAGTATGAGTGAATTAAAGCTTCGGGATTTTCAGTCAAAACTTTAGGTGGATTACTACAAGTCGTAGTTCTGCTCAAAATATTGCGATTTCCAACTAAAGACCGCAATTCAGTGTCTGGACTTGTTAAGTAAATTATATAACAAATACAAAATAAAAGCTAAAAAATTTAACACTAAATAAACACAAATATTCTAAATTCAAAAAATAAAATGCAAAATACAAAACACTTAATACAAATACAAACAACGAAATGCAAAATACAAAATACGAAATACCAAAAATATGCAAACTAGGAAATTTTAAAAAGTAGTATAAATACTAAATATTTAACTCTAAGTACTTAATGCAAAATAATAAATGGTAAATACTAAAAACTAAAAACTAACTACCAAATACTTAATACTAAATACTAAATACTAAATACTAAATACTAAATACTAAATACTAAATACTAAATACTAAATACTAAATACTAAATACTAAATACTAAATACTAAATACTAAATAAAAAACCACAAACTATAAAACACAAAATACACAATACACATATACAATACAATACGCAAAGTACAAAATACTGAATACAAAATTCAGAATAAAAAATAGAAAAAAATTAACAGAAATCAAGGCCAAAAATAACTGCTATTTTCGAAATGTCAATTCAGCAAGTAAGACGGAAAGAGTTTGGCCACATGATATTTGATTATAGCAGTGTGATGCTTGTTAGCTACGGACTATTAATCTCAATTTATTTAAATTTTTTTTTCAAAAAATTAACCAATTAATCTTTATTTTTTACCTGTAATTTTTCAGTCAAAAATAACAGTTCAATTTGACTTCTGCTCTTCCGATCAAAAATTACAATTAAAATGTGACTTTTATTATCCGATCTGAAATTAGAATTAAAATTTAGTTGCTTGTAAACGTTTAAGTTAGAAACCTTTTATTGCTACGCATGAACCAGGCATTAGTGGTTTGTGCTATCATTGCAAATGAGCGATGTAGTAAAATAATACGAAGGTCGTTAGTAAAATGTTGCTTTTGGTTAAAAAAAATTATTTTAAATTATTAATTGACCCAAAAAATTATTAAAGAAAAAAACTCAAAACTTAACTTTAACTGTTTTTTATCAAAATATAATAATTTGAAATTTTAACGGTTATTTTTGACGAAAAATATACATCAGTCAACATTTAACTCTCAATTTTTGATCGAAAACATATCGTTGGAAAAAACGATTATTTATCGACTTTTTTGAAAAAAATAAAATTCAAAAGGTATCTTTAGTTTTGATCGAAAAAAGTCAAATATTAGCTCTGATCCAGTACTCCATGAACTTACAGGATTTTACACGAACTTGCAGGAAAAATGTTCCCGTACTCCAAAATCCTGTAAATGAGAGCGACTTTTGGAGAGTTGTGTAGAGAATGGAGTTGCAAGATTTTACCCGAACTTTTTCTTCTGGTAAAATCATGAAAAGTGTCAAGCAATCACTGGTTGACGTTTTCACAGGAAAAATGTATTTTTTGTTCCCGTTATTTTTGTTGTTACTCACTTTTTACTCTCACTTCAGAGAGTAATTTTGCTGTTTGACAGTTTTACAGGATTTTTCACGAAAAGTATTGGATCAGAGCTATTAATTGTTATTTTTTAACAAACTAATATAACTAAAATTTAAACTGTTATTTTTGACCGCAAAAATAAAGGTAAACACTTTACTCTTCATGTTTGATCGGAAACATCGATGAAAAAGACTAACGATTATTTTTCGCGTTAAAAAGAAGAAAAAAAACAGTACAGTTATGGTGCCTATTAAAAAGTCATATTCTCCGATAGATGCACTGAGCCCGTAATCACCGCTGCAACGAACCAGCTAACCAAATCCTCCATTGTACATATTTGGTTACAAGGATGCGCTGCTTTTTGTAACAAGCTAGATGAAGTGGGCAAAGTGAAATTGTTGCCGAATTTCCATTTGCTAGTTAACCACGCAGTTGTAGCTACAAATTGCAATTCATACACAGTTTTTTTAAATTTAAGCATTTATTTTCCTTTTTATAATTTAATTTTTTTTTTGCTACTTTTTTCAGCTTTTATTGTTGCATTTTTGGTAATATGTTTGCATTGTGCCCCAGACATGCACTTCACTCCACAACAGCCTGCCACTCAAGTACGAGTTAACACAAAAATTAGTGCCACTCCATGTCTGACTCGAGTGCCTTGTGTGCGAGCGCATGCATGCGCCTGAATGCAGCATATGCAGTCCACAGCCCGTGGCATGCCATTTGACAGATGCATACATACAAAACTGTGCAGCAACAGTAACAGCAGCTGGTTGATGATGCATGTGGCAGCTCCACAAAATTTCACATTCATTTTTTTTTTGTTTTTGTTGGTATTTTTGCTGTTTTGCGCCCACATGCGTTCTTTGGTTTAAGTTGTTTGTTTTTTTTTTTTCAATGGCAGGGCATAAATACGGGTATTTTAGATCGGTGTGTGTATATGTATATATGTATGTGTAGTATACTTGTGTTAAATAGTATTCATGTAATATGAAATTGAGCTCAAGTTCTTATTAATGTCAACAAGTGCGTTGTGAAACCGGCAATGGGAATTCATTCGTCTTGACAGGCTGACATGATGTGGCGTACAGAGTAAACTTGGATGCGGGTGTATGAATTTATTAGTATGTATGTGTGTAGGTGTACGTGTACGTGTGTGTGTAAATTCATGTGACGCTGCAGCTTAATGAGTATGTATTGCTTATGACTTACCTTTTTCCTTGAATACCGTCGTCAACCACACACTCATCGTTGCTCATAAATGTATTTATTCGTCTGCTTTTGGTTTGCCTTTTGGTGGTTACGATTCAGTTCGCTTTTTAATTTGTATCGTTGAGTGCGGCCTTTTACTCTGTACTGCAACGGTTTTTGCAATTAGTTTACAATTTTCATATTCAGTGAAGTTCTGAAAAGGAGAGAAACACATTTTTGTAAGTTTCGGTATGGCTCTTGATGTTTTTATTTCCAATTTAGAGTATACATAATTTAAAAGCATAGAACTTTACCCCCATCCAATTTCAGCAACACATACATATTTGAGTTTTCATAAAGATATGTTTTTGTTAAAAGCTTTGCGATTCTGCCACTTGGTCCTGTTTTTTATGTGTAAACATCTTAGCTCGCGGTATGGGTAAAATTTGCATTAACCCAGTAAAAATTTGTAACTCAATCTTGTTTAACCCAGCAGAAAATTTGTGATTGCTTCTTGTGTGTACAAATGACCATTTTGGGACCTGTACTGGACTATTTTAGGACCATTTGCTTGGTCGTGATCATTTCAAGACTGGTTAGGGACCTGTTCAGGACCATTATGGGCCTAGTTCACTACTTTTTGAGACCACTTTAAGTCTAGTTCAGGGGTACCTGAAGTACATTTGGGGTCTAGTTCTGGATCATTTTACATAACCCCTTCGGGATGGGTTCTGAGTAGTTTTAGGACCATTGTGGGACTATTTCGGTATCATTTTAGAATTAATAAGGGACCATTTCGGGATAATTTTTCGACTAGTTCTGGATCAATTCGGAGCGTTTCGAAACTAAACCTTTTCTTATAGTACTTCAGAAAGCGACAGATTATTCAATTGTACTTCATAAACCGTAAAATGTACTTCAGATTAGTCAAATATACTTCAGAATCCGTTAATTGAATTGCAGATTAGTCAATTGTACTTCAAAAACCAATCAATCAAAAACCAGTCAATTGTTCCAAAACAAAACAGAAGCCGAAAAATGTTCTTCAGATTAATCAATTGAATTTCAGACACCGTAAAATGTGTTTCAGAATGTGTGATATTGTACTTCAGAAACCACTTCTGTAAATGTACTTCAGGTGTTAAAGTATCGCTTTACAATCCATTTAGAATTATATTTCACATCTTCCAATGTACGGACTTTGCCCCCAAACCCTTCTCTTTTGAGAATATTGATATAACCAGTCATTATTTCTCTGAGTGTGATATATCCCTCGAACAAACTTTATGTTAAAGATGTTGGCACGACAAAAGGAGCAATATGTAAGTACATAGACTTGCGCTTCATGCTGATCTAAAAAAAAAAAACGCATTTATCCTGGAACTCCTTTTCATAAAATAAATACAATTTATTAAGTAAATCTACACATTAATTGCTTCAATTGCAAAAAATCGCAATCAAATTTATGTATGTATGTATATGTCGTCACGAAATGATCCTGTCACTAGGTCGCCATGGATCTTCTTATACTTAAGAGTTCCATCTGAACTTTAATCCCTCCGTAAGTCGCCTAACTTTCTAATAAATTTTTTCTCTCGCCCAGCGTTTTAATATCTTCGCATTCCCATATTTGCGGCATAGTATGTCTCGCTTCCCTCTTTATCTCCTTATATTGGTCCCCTATAAGTGGCATCTTCTTTCTCTGCAGTTTCGTGACATTCCTTATCGTACCAATTGTTCTTTGTGGGTCGCTGAAATCCTACTACCTCTTCGGCGGCGCTACGTAATGAACGAAAAATTTGGTTGTAATTTTTTATTTGGTAACAAATTGCCAAATGGCTACCATGCCCAGCATTTTGCCAACGCAGCTATAACAGAATGTGGATATCATTTGTACGACTGTAAATGTTTTTCCTAAATTGCTTATGCCGAAAAACAAAAATTGACGGCACTCATAAGAATAACAAATTGAGATACTCTAAATAAGGACTCGATTACATGTTCACGCAAGTATAACCGTAAACTCTTAATGGCACGCACAGAAAATAACAACCTTAACACGCGAGCTCATTTTCAATGAGAAACCTGTCAACAAAAGCAATATGAAGTCATAAAAAAAGTATTAATAGAATGAAAAAAAACCGAATTGCTTAAGCGGCTAAAATGCCTCGACGGCGCCGCACATCAAATGTCAAATTTGTTGACAGACAATTTGAAGAAAACAAAAGCGTACAAATAACACACAACACAGAAATACTCAGACAAAAGCATAAGAAGCAGAGTATAGGAGACATTCGTGCGCTCATAAGAGTTTAGTATGTAATAGGGTGTTCGCTTATTCGCCTTTTTCGAAAACCGGTTTTTGGAGTTATTCGAAAAATCGCAATTTAAAAAAAGAAAACAGCTACTGATTTTGAAATTAAGAGAACACCGTATAAACCAGGTTTATTTTAGGTAGTTTTTATACAAAAATTACAATAAAACCTTTAACAGTAAGGACAGCTTTTATTCAGAAAAGAGCAATGCAAACATTTTTTTTTTAGATTAAAAATAAAACAAATAAGAATCAGGGAAAAGTTCACGTTTGGTATAATTTTTACTTTGTTTTAATACTTTATTGGGTTTTTTTTTGTTTCGATTTTTAGTAGTGCTCTTGCCACCGTAGTCTGGTTCAATTTATGGTCCCAGCAGCGTCAAAAAAAGTTTTTTCTTATTAGCGGTCGCCCTTCGACAGACAATGACGAGCCGCCAAGAGTACTTCTGCTATAAAAAAAAAGCTACATCTCTCCATGTGTGTCACCACATCAGGAAGCAGAACATGAACTGGAGGGGAAGCTCGGCCCAAAAACGTAGAAGCGCCAAATATTTATTTATTAGAACCAAATATGACCCTTTTATCCTGTTATGATGCTGTTTATCCTCAAACTACCTAGGATATAATTTAAAAAAATTGCCCTTAAACTGAAAAAAGCCTTGAAATTTTCGAAAAACTCAACATTTTTTTTGAGAGATTTCAACATTTGTATGAAATGAAAACAAACGATTTGTCCAATAAAAAAATCCGGTTTATTTGATATTCGAAAAGTCAAGATTTCAAAAAAATCGTCTGTAGATATCCAAAAAGAAAACCGGTTTCGAAATACCGAGTCCATCACTCTAGTATGTAAGCAGGTGTAGTATGTAAGCACATGTGCATAGGCAAGTGCGAAAGGAGGTGAATGAAAAGCTTCAGCGTTGCGCATCAATTGCCGTTGTGCAAAATAACAACGACAAAAGCTGTCGGTGGAGGCAGCTAAAGCAAAAGGCAACCAACTCGCACAAAACAGGATGAAATACAGGAGCACCAACAGCAAAAATAAGAACCGAAACATATCCATATATGTATATATTTAGTATAACTACAGCAACACTAACAATTACGCGGAAAATACGAGCTCATTAGAAATGACGCAAATAAACAACAACCAACGCCAGTCAGACTTGGTATGCTTATAGTCGCACTATATAGCAGAATTGAGTATAGGTCGCTTGAGAATATGAAGGACTCCATGTCGGTGTGTGTGTGTGTGTTGTCTTGTGTTAGTGCTGGCGCCTTTGTACACGTGTCCAATGCACACACGTAAAAAATAGCTGAAGGCAAAATTTCAACAAAAGCTCAAAAAGTAAACAAATCATTTTAAATTCTCAATTAAATGTGCGCACACATACATATGTATGTACCAACGTGTGTGTGTGTACCTACACACACGCATACACCAATTCAGGAACTTCGACTCGAAAGGACGACATATTTGCAAACTCAAAGGCTAAACGGGTGTCAGGATTACTTGCGCATACTTACAGACGCAGGCACAAGGGTTTATGCATAAATATTTGTTTATTAGGGCGGCCCTTAAAATAGCAGCATCTGAATTTTGTATTCTGTATTTTGTATCCGCAAAACTTGAATAGTGCAGAAAATTACTCAAATTTGAAATGAGGAGGAAATGCCTCGCAAATGTATGCCTTAATATTGACACTGATTTATGTATAGTAACAGCGTTATTTCCAAATCATTCCCATATTCATCCTATGACTATTGTCATAATTACTGCGCCTAAAACACAATACAAACATTGCTTCGGCATTGTAGCGCACTCGGTATGTGAAAACAATAACAACGCCAGTTGTCATCATTAGAGCGCGTGAAATCGATTTACGGCATAGTTTTAGGCGCAGTAGTAAAGTCAATAGTCAGCCGTTGAGTTTTGTTTTTAGCGTGGGAATAGGACTGTAAGATTCATACAAGGAAGAAAGTAAAGCTATAGGCAAAAATTAAAATAAAAGTAAACATGCTTCAGATAAAGACAAAAGGGAATGTAAATTTAAATACTTAATATAATTACAAGGGTCATTAATATGCAAATCAAGAAAATAATGAAAGCACGGATCAGGATAGAGGTAAAGGAAAAGGTAATGATAAACATGAAAAGATAAATAAGAAGATAAACATAAGGACAAAAATGAATATAAAGGTAAAGCTAAAAAACGATAGACAAGAAGATAGAGATAGACAAGTGATAGAGGTAAGATAGAGACAAAGAAAAAGTTAAAACTGAAGAATTAAATGTTATGTTATGTTGTGTTATTTTACGCTATGTCATGTTATTCTGTGTTATGTCTATGCTTCATTATATTATGCTATGTAATGTTAAGTTATGTTATGTTATGTTAACTCACCATAGCTCACTCCAAATAATCTCATGTCCCCACATTTCACCCCTCACTTACCTCAAGCCATCTCAACTCAACTCAACGAAAGTAATGTTTTTTCACCGCAACCCATCTTATATCAGCTCAACTTATCTCACTTTAGCTCAGCTTACCCTAACTAACCTTAACTTATGTAAACTAGCCTCACCTCAACTCACTTCACCTTAGCTTAGCTCAACTCCTCTTAATTTGTACGTCGTTAAAAACAAAATCGACTAACTATTAACAGAGTGACAAAACTTAACTATTCACTGTTGTGATTTCTAGTGCGCATAAACTAGCTGAGTTATAGCTAGTCAAAGTGAAAATATTTTTCGAATTTTTTTTATTAAAAATTAATTTTGACAAACCTTGGTAGACACCCTTAAATTTTATTTAAATTTTGAAATATTTTCTGGGATATCCTTAACACCCTAATGCATGTATATTAGGGCGGGTCAATTTGTATGGATCGACTTTTTT